ATTCTCTGTTATGCAACATACCCTGATCCATAAATTACACGATTTGCTTCTTGTTATGAGTGGGTGGATTATGAGCACATGCAACAAATCACCTTATCTTAGTATGACTCTGTGTCTGTGTGTGTGTATGTGTGTGTGTGTGTGTGGGGGGGAGAGAGAGAGAGAGAGAGTCTACTACCACCATTTTGGGAGGTTGAGAGAATTACTCAATTCAGAGATGTAGCACTGAAACCGTGGATTCTGTGCCTTGCTGAAGGGCCCGCCTTATGGGGAGAACTTGTTAATTCAAACCACTGAAATGTTCCCTGTTTGGTCTCAGGATTCACTTAAAAATTCCACAGACCATCATCCTAAAATGTATTTTTTTTTAATTTCATAATTAAAAGGCTCATGTTTAATGCAACTGGAGAAAAGTCAAAGTCCTTTGATAATCCTGAGATAACCGAGACGCTTGAAAGTGATCACGGATCGCTGCATCTTTGTGAGTGCATTTGTGTGCACTTGACACACACACACACACATGCTACACAGGCCTGAACACACAGATACACTCCTCACAAAGCTGCACACGAGCACGAGATTAATGAAAATTCAATAGATGACAGACAAAGCTCTATTGTGCCACATTAATAAGATTTAATACGGAGCTTTCTTTTCCCCCGACGCTAGCAGGCCAACTTGTTCTTGCTGGCAAACTCGTCTTATCTCAGCATCTTCCAATCCTGTCATTTATTATTTGGCCTCTAGCTTATCTGAACTGAGAACTACAGTTTTCAAGGAATACTGACTCCCATTTTATATTGTAGAGCAAAACGTTAAAATATATTGTGCTTGTCTTCACCACAGACCTGTTTCAGGCATCTAGCCAAAAACCCATGTAAAAAGAACTTTGACTTCGAGATGAGGGAGGTGCTCTGCATAGAGTTAATGTGATGACCAAATGTACAGACACATTAGGAACTTCACAGCACAAACACACACCATTCTACATATTGAATTTATCTTGTGTGCATTTTGTTGATTTACACTGTATTTGACTCCTTTATTCATCGTACTGTGTCAGTGCATGCCATGAAATTCTGTGACTCATCAGCAAATCCTGGCATCATTTGCTCACTGAGACAAATTCCTGTGCATGTATTTTATCCAGCTTTCGCAGTGATTCAGATTGTGATATTGGACGTTTTGGGTTTTGTGCCAGGGGGAGGCCTAAGGGCTTGCCCTACATCATTCATCATGCCCTTGCCCATAAAGCAGGGCAAGCTGTACTGCTCTGGAGTCATTCCAAGAGGGCTCTCGTCATTAGCTTGCCACTTGGCGGCCAATTGGTGGAGCAAAAGAGACAAAAGCTGCAGTCCACCTCTGCATGCTCTGATTGCTCTGAGAGAGAGAGAGAGCGAGAGAGCGAGAGAGAGAGAGGGAGGGAGAGGGATGGGGGCCTCCTTTTTGGCATGGCGGGTCGCATGTTAGCAGGGTGGTTGTGTAGTTGTTTTGGCACAGGACGTCCAGGACAGAGGTAAAAGGGGTCTCTATCAGCTCAGAGAGTTTTCAGTTGATTCAGACCCTCGTGGTTTAAAGGAGTTTCCTCGTGCGTGATTTCATTACGCGGAGTAACAGTCAACATCCAACCCAAGGACAGACACAGAGAGGAAGTTTGTAATCCGCCCTCGCGTTTTTTATTTCTGTCATTTCTCAATAAAACAATCATCCTCAAATTATTAATAATTGTGCCGCCTTTGTAGTCCTGGCAGGTGTTTGATCCATCGGGAGGACATAACTGACAGATTTGCAGGCACTTCAAGAAGATAGGGGTTCTATTGTCCATGATTTTGACATGAAGTAATGACAGCAAATGAAAGGCTTGGATCAGTCTTGATCCTCTCCCTTCTCGTCGGCTCTTTTGCATCTTCCCTCACTCTCTCAATTATTCTCCCGGCTGTTGGATTTTGCCATGCTGTGATCCTCCTGCGCCTCCAGGCCCTCAGGTTATTTGGATATCGCGTGGAGTCAAAGCCCTGTCAGTCAGATAAGCAGTGACCTCACGGGCCCAGCAGATAAGACGTTACATGGCAAGAGGAAATGGCGGGGGACAAAAGGCCTGACTATGAAGGCTCGGTGAAGCGAGACTGATCACAACGGCTCTTCAAACTAAAAAATAAAAAAAAGGCTGCCAAGAATGAAAATATATTGCTTGTGCCTTTTTTTCACTTTAGATTGACTGAATCTGATTTGGACTTCATTTGGAAGTGCTTGTCTTTTCATCTGAAGAAAAAAAACAACCAAAGGTGTTCCAAGTTTCCTCTCACAAAAGGATGAATGGAAAAGGGAACATTTTAAAGTTCTTACTCCAAAATGTCAAAATCCAAGAATCAATTATGAGTCTTAGTTATCACGGGTAGACACCAATAAACAAACATTCCAGATTTAACAGTCTCAATAAATGACTTGCACACTAACCCATTTTAGCTGCTCCAGACTCACTGAGGTGGTTGGAATAAGACAAACTTGCCAGTCATTCCATTACACTGGGAAATTACAAAAGGATGAATGAAGGGCGAGTCTTTGTTTAGGACGGCAGCTTTTTGGGTGGTCCACAGGTTGGAAGCCCTCTGGGAGGGATCAAGGAGACCTCCACATATAATACCAATAAGTCGACCTGTTCAAACATGGTAGGCGCTAATTCAGAACTCAGCCACAACCAAGAATACATTTTCTTCCCCAATTGCTGATTCATTTTTCTGCAAAGCTACACTTTTCATTCTTCCCATGATTAAATAATTGTAAGTAATTTGGAGGGGGGGGGGGGGGAGATAAACTGGTTTTAGCCCACGTCTGAGTATAAACCTCAGATATATTACTTATATAAAAGCATAACACATCTTACAGCCGCAGAAGCCTGAATAAAAAGAAAAAATACAGCACAACACAATACAAACTGTTGATTGAAATAATATTGTCCCAAAGACACAAGCCACATGATTATCTAGGGAAATGTTTGCGGAGCCCACACACTCTTTCATTTCAACACCCTACTTTATATTAACACATATTTAAACGTAGGTCTGGGAGCTGCCCAGGACAACCACAGGCCTCCACTGCTGGCCACCGAGCCAGTGGTTCAGTTCTTTTTCTCAAGAGCCCCTCGATGGTTGTTGTTCAGGGAGGGAAGCTAAGTACTCATTCAACCCAAAAACACTTCAGTCACAAGCTCTCTTCTAAGTGAAAGGGTTACTGCTGCAAAGATTAGATACATATAACCAATTAAACTCAGTTCATCTTTTTGTTTTATTTACGAAACAAATAAATGTTTAACCTAATTTAGCTGTTAATTTGCATTGTGTTTAATAGGAGCACACTTATATGTGTTGTAACTTTTAAAGAAACTTAAATGCATATGTTTATTTGCACGTTTGTTTTTGTACATTCTGAATAACGTATTATACCTTTTTCTTTCGATGCTACATTGCTGATTAGCTATTAATGACATCTGCATCAAGATTTATAACATAACTTACCAGACCTAATGGGATTGCGTGCAGTGGTGAGAGCGGGCCACCCTCCATGATGCCTGAGTAGTGTAGGACTCAATGTGTCAGAGGATTCAGGTTACAAGGCCCACCATGTCGTTGCTGAGGATTGTGGTTGAACGGTGTTTTTCCCACAATTCCCCTTTTACCCTGGAACACCTACAGGTATGGTACTATTAGCACTCCTCGCTCCGTGTTATGCAGTTTCAATAACAGGAGTGGTACAACATCATTGCCAACATGATTTCAATCTGAGCCAGTTCCAAATACGTCTGTGCATCTTATCAGCAGGCCTCTAGCGTACCGATACATTACCGTATACAACTGCACAGCCTATATGATCCTATAATAAGTGGATTTGCATCGGTAATACATTTTTAAAAAATGAAATAGGAATATAAATCCAAAGTCTACATTGGTTTAAGAGGCTTTGTGTGCACATAAAGAAAACTTAAAGGCCTGGCCCACTGAGCAGGAGGTTTGTTTAGTGAATTCAGAAGTTTTAATGACATCTTTTCTTCATCAACTACATTAAACCCTTGAGTGCACAAATGACTGTATGACACTGCTTTGCTCGATGATGCTACAGAGGTATCAGCACGAGCCAAAGGCTGTAAGCCGGTGGTTGAAGTGTGTGCCTGCAGTGCCCTCTATTGCCAAGAGAGCAGACTAACAAGCTGGTGTATTGAGAGTGAAAGCTGAGTGTATTATCTAGTCACACACTTTATCCAAAGTTAAACTGAGGATACTATATGTTTTCCGAACACAAGCTTAAAAGTGAAAGACAGTGTGTTATTGGAAAAGGTAAGATAGCTTTTAGTGTGGCCTAAATGGTTCTTAAATGACGTCAACTCTAGTGTGAGCATGTCATATAACTGTACATGTATATACAAGTCCATGTGTGTGAGAGTAGGAGAGTGCACGTTTGAGTGATTGTTATGGGCAAAAAGCCTATAATGTATCTATCCATAAACACAAGTTTTGGGTGAATTTGACTGGGATTTTCCCCGCTTTAAAAACCCTTAAACCATAAAGATAATCCATTAAAATATCCTTAATGGAAAAGTCCTTGTTGGCAAATAGTATAACCCATTTTTGAGGGTTTATAAAAACCTTAAACAGAGGAGATAACTAATAGAACCCCTTTAATATATTTCAATCCTATTGTGCATCCATTAATTAACCTGAAACCTGGCTTGAACCCCCACAAATGTAGAGCAACCCGCTGAATTTGCTTAAAAAGAAACTGGAGCAGCATTTTGTGTTTGTTTTTAGAAAAATAAAGTGAAGGAAATAGGCCTGCACACAGTGAGCGTGACTTTATATATTATTTTTTTTTCGGCTTGGTAAAGTGGCTTTTTATTCTATATTATATTTGTGTTATTTTTTTATTTTTTTATTTTTTCCTCGTTTACAGTTTGCAGTTACCCGCCTCCCCCAGATTGTACTAAAGGACACTTCCGGTTTACCCGGAACTACGCATAATTCCCAAAGATGGCGGAGCAAGGTCCGATGGCCATAGCGATGCGGCTACGAAATCAGCTACAGTCCGTCTACAAACTGGACCCGCTGAGGAACGAGGTGAGTGCCCACGTAGTACGTGCTCGTCCGCTCTGGGGCGCACACGTACAGGGACCCGGAACCGCAGCAGAGACCCAGCTAAACAACACGCGTGAGCGGGAGAGCGTTGTCGTCTCCGCTGCGCTGATGGAGAGAGAGGAGAAGCAATGCTGAAGCGCTGTGAAGGGAGATGCGTTTGCGCACGCGTGAACGGTTGGGAGTCAACCCGTGTTGTTCTGGAGCAGCGTTCCAAAATCCTGTCAAGAAACTTGTTTATTTCACTCGTGTTATGCCACATATTCAGCTGTATTCGTAAGTTTTCAACTTGGGAGTTTCTACTTGTATTTCAAGCGGTGTGTGTGTTTGAACCGGGACGGTAACGGCCGCTGCCCACCGCGGCTTTATTACTGAACGACGAAGTAACGGCGGTTTGTTTTTCGAGCTGCTGTTGTTTTTTATTTTTAAACGGGAACGCAGCGCGTTGTTTTAACGGTTTTTACGCGGGACGTTCGTCTCAAACCGTCTCCGTCAGTCGACATAAAAATGTCAACATTTGACGTTGTGTATGATAATCCAGTGGCCCTCCTTGTGGGAACATTTCTCATTAGCTAACGTATTTACGTCATTTGTCAGACATGGACAGGACTACTAACTGGGTCATTACACCGACTAGATCCTGGTTCTGTATTGAAGTCAGTGGAGGGGACGTTTACAGTAAAGTAACGTAATGTGGTAGCTAAATCCTCAATATCTAGCCGTCATAACACAACTTTAAATCATACATTTCTGTGTCATAAAATAGACACCTTGCGCATTCAGTTCGCATTAAAAGCAGCTACAAAATAAGTTTTCTTTTGACTAAAAAAGAGCATTAACCCAACATATTGCAAACATTTTAAAAGTTACTGTTAATGGTTCCGTTGTATATGTTTTGCTTTGAGTTCAAGCCCTGGTTGTGCTGATTACACTTTGTTTGGGGGGGATAAATTAACATTAGCTTTGAAAACATGTAAAACACCTTTTTGTCATCCGGACAGGAGGAGGTGAAGTTGAAGATCAAGGACCTGAACGAACACATCGTCTGCTACCTGTGCGCGGGTTACTTCATCGACGCCACGACGATTACAGAGTGTTTGCACACCTGTGAGTATGAACGGAGCTGGACAAGAATAGTTTGCACGTCATTAACGCGACTGAAGACAAACAGAGTGAGAATGAAATGTCTCTCCTTTCTCTCTGCTCTACAGTCTGTAAAAGCTGTATTGTGAAATACCTGCAAACGAGCAAGTACTGTCCAATGTGCAACATCAAAATCCATGAAACACAGCCTTTACTCAACCTCAAACTGGACCGAGTGATGCAGGACATCGTCTACAAGCTGGTGCCCGGACTACAAGAAAGTACGTAAAACAACACCGCTGTCAGTGTGACCTAAATTATCAGCTCTATTGAGGGCTAATATTTATAAAACAATGTTTAACTAGTAACACATGTGACTTTACAGCTGAAGACTAGATAATTATTGACAGCATCAAACAGTGTAAATGCCATATTTCTTTTGGGATATTTGAAAATCAGTATTGTCTCTATGTCTGTCTTTTTTGTCTAATATCAATCTCGGTGTTTGAACAGGCGAAGACAAGAGAATAAAGGAGTTTTATCAGTCACGTGGGCTAGAGAGAGTCATCCAGCCGACGGGAGACGGTAAGTCTTCCACTTAGTGAAGCCTCGGTGTGTGATTAAGGCGGTGTGTACTGAGATTGAAGAGATCAGTGGGTGTTTTTGTTCATATCTGTGTGACGTATTTGGTGTTTCTCTGTGATTTCCGTGGTGTTTGTTTCTGAACGGCACTTTACCAAAGTGGCAGTACATTTAGCAACACTTTATGAAAATATTCGAATGAACAGCGTCTCTTCGACAATATATGTCTGTTTTAACAGTCTTTGTTTAATTTTTTGATGTTTCTAGCTCTTCATTTTCTCTCAGTGATTTTGATGACCATCAAAATCTGACATTTTGAAACGATTTGGGGACTATTTTTTTGCAGTACTGATGTCATGCAGTGACAGCTGTGTTTATTTAACAGTTCAAATGTGGCTCAGCCTATCACTGGAGCTAGACATTTTAATAATGCAATTTAAAAATGCTTACAATACACATCACATCCTGCTCTTTTTCTCTAGTACCAGACACGGCTTGAATCAAGAAATGTAGAAGTTGTCGTGAAGTAGCTGTAGGTTGAATCACTGTTAAGTTTTTATCAGTTGCAGATTGTTAAACTCTTGCATGCATAGAGTAGTACATTGATATCACCAAACAGTTGTTTGCTTCAGTGGCAGGTGATGCAACAGAATCTGTATCGTGCAGTCTATAGTCTGCAGCTAGTTGCTGCTCTGATTCCCAGTCAGAGACATGCTGATTAATGTTTGATTTTCCTTGTCTCCAGATGCTATACCCGATGCCACAGGTCTACCATACACAAGCTTCGACCATTCAAAAGCCCACTTCTACAGATACGATGAGCAGGTGTCGCTCTGTTTAGAAAGGCTAAGGTGAGCTTTTGTCTCTGGTTATCTTTCAAGTCATGCAATGAAGATTAGCCAGATCAAATGTAAATAAAATAAGCTTTCAAGTTAAACCTGTCTAATATGCACGTTTCAAAACTGTGTGCTCTGTTTCATCTTCACAGTTCATCGCTTGCTGGAAAAGACAAAACGAAACTCGCTCTTCAGGTGAGTCATACAAACCAAATCACAGATTTGTTCAGCGCTGTATTTCAGTTCAGTCTGTGTACTTAGTGAAATTGCAGAGCTGGTTACGGATGCTTTCAAAACGACTCGGCTCACGGGTTTGCAAAAACATGTCTCCGGGGGCACATTTCTGAAGCCCGAGCGAGTCATTTTCTACCATTAAGTGCTAAGAAAATACATGGCACGATGACATCTGCAGCAGCAGCAGAATCCACTCTGCGCTGGTTACTCTGGCTGCCTCATATTCACGGAGAGTCGGGGATAAGTGGGCCGAGCACACCAGTGAGGCATATAATCATTCTTTATTTTCACCACCAAACCACTAATTTCTCAGTAACTGGACTTTTTCTAATCGTTTGACAAAGTGTTGCGACAATTTGAGGCCCGATGACAAGACGTCGGCTCGGTGTTTGTGGTGATTAGTGCTGACTTGTAGGATTTAAGATTTGTAAAAGAACATTAAAGACATGTTTAAAATGTTGAATACTATTTAGCAGACAGAAAAATGTGCTTTGGACACAAATGAGGTGCTAATTATGACCGTGGTCCCATTATGTTCATAAAGAGTACATAGTAGTGTGTATTCTTATAGTTTCCTGATGCCTATTCACACAGATTTACATCATGGCTGTTTGAAACACAGCTTGTTCAGTAATTTCAAACCCACTAAACTGAAAAAAGTGCCTACTTCGTCAGTTATTGCCCCGTGTGGCTGGATGCTCCTGACAGGCCCATTTGTCGAGGGATGTGTGTGTTTTATTGTATAATGCTCAGATTGTACTGAAACAAAACTTGATCAAAGATCATTGGGGCGGAGCAATCTAACTAAAACACAGACTAAACTCACTGCCCAGCCAACATCGTTCCTCATATACTGCAGAGGCTTTATTCGGCCAGCAGAGGGCGCTGTTGTTCAACATGTGCCTGTGTGTAGTACCGCAAGGCATCCAAGTTTGGGCTCAAATCAAGAATTCAGATTTTGTATGTTTTGAACTGTTTTTATCTCTATAAGATTTGATAGATTCTCAAATCTCAGCACACATTTCCTTGTTTCCATGAGATGAAAGCTGTAATGTTCAAACGGACCAGCAGCTTGTTGTTTGGTCTTTTAATCATATTTAACAGTAGGAGAAGGATATCTAGAATGAAGTCACGTAGGATGTGAACATTAGTGGTTTTGGTGACGTGTTGCTGGCATCGGGGGGGTGTCATCGTCTACCAATGTCCTCCTTAAAAATGTGAAGATTGAAATGTTTGTCTCATGTTACCTCGTGTAACGGGAACATCTTCTTTGGTTCCATTCCAGACTCTCGATATATGCAGTTGTGTTTCCCCCTAACCTCTGTGTGAACTATTAAAAATAGGATCAACATATTTGACTCTCAGCCTTTTTGTGGCATGCTGTCCTCTCTCCCCTGCACCTCCATTCATAACCCGATGTTTTTACCGAGGTGGCTTTTAAAGAAATACTGTCTTTCACTGCATTCAGGCGTAAAAGAAGGAAGGAAAGCTCTCCAGCTTCAGAGTGTAATAAGTCAGATGGGAGTGGAAAACGTCGAGCAGTTAGCTCTAAATGTAACTGGAGTGTTTCCTGTGGAAATGTGTTCCGTCACCTTTTGTGACTGTAAACTTTGGACATTATAAAAACTAAGATATCTGAATGCTGAAGTGAAAAACGGCAGCCTGTAGCAAATCTAAAGAGACGTTTACAACTGACACGCTTTTTACTTTATCTGGACAACAAAACCGAAAGTGTCAGACAGCTACAAGTGATGCAGTGAGTGTGTTTCCATGGTACAGCTACGTGTTACATATCTGGGTGAATCAAGCATTTTAACCTGCTTTATGAACAAGAAACCCGCTAACGTGCTCCATAGTTGCAGCAATAAACCAACGTCATCAGCTGTGCGTTATTTATTGGAATTACCTCCTTCACGTCGTCATGTCTTGATCATGTTGTTCGTCATAAGTTTGTTCAGTGGATGTTTGACTTTGTCTCCGCAGCAGAAGTTCGTCCGGTGTTCTGTCCGAGCGGAGGTGAGACACCTACGGAAAGTGCTGTGTCATCGTCTGAACGTGGAGAAACACCAGGTCAGTCAATAGTCCTCATTGATCCGATAGAAGACGTGATGGTACACGCGACATTAAAGATTCGTCTATTTATTTGGCTTCTGCTGATGAGGACTAATGTGTGAAACGCCTATCGAGCTGCTTCACTCTCGCTTCAAAAGACAAACTACATCTTCTGAGGTAATTCTACATGTTACATGTGAACGTCGACTGCTGCTGAATCAGCGGTCGGCTCGGGGACGGTGTCTTGTTGAGACTGGTGACATTCAAGGCTCCTGTGTCATTAATTCAATATTTATTGAGGCGTTATTGCCGAAGACTTTCTAAATTCATGTGTGAAATGAAACGTGTTCCCACAAAGTAAGACTGACTCAAACAGTCGGTTTGGAAAACACGTTTTGATTGGTTAGCAGATGCTTGCATCAGGGCCAGGGTACCGTACGTTTAAAGATGGGTAACCTGACAACACACAAACTCTTGTTTTTTGTAAAGACGGCCTACATTTTGCCGATTGGTCAAGTGCCGATCGTACACTCTTAAGGCAATACTGTTGTGTTATTGGTCCCACAGAACTGTCTTAATTACTGAGGAGTTTACCATAAGTCCTTTGTGTTGGCCTTGTGTGTTGGGGGGGGGGGGTATTTGTGCTTCCTCGTCGCATGTTTTACGAGCAGCAAACGGGTTTTGTCATATTAAAAATAATGGTAGATGTTGCTTTCGGATTCCCCTTCACATCTGTTTGTGTGGTCTCCCTATAGGTCCAGATGTTGTTCAATAACGAGTCTCTGCCCGATCACATGACCATGAAACGGTTATGGCTCTCACACTGGTTTGGCAAGGTACGGTACAGCCGCTGTCAGCTCGTGCCAACTACACATTCCTTCAGTTTCTACTGTAGTTCCTTTGGAGAGTCACCATGAAGTTCATTGAGAATGTTGTAGACATTTAAACATCATTTGAAATGAAATAAAATATCTTCAGTGGTAGTGTGACGTGTTAGATTTGACACATAATAAAATAATAACTTAGTTTGATCTCTTTTGCAGATGTTGATAGCTCCGTGAAGTGTTTCCATCCCACATATAATATTTAAAATCTTTTCTCCTCTAGGCCCAACCTTTAGTTCTTCACTACACCATCAAGGACAAAAGGACCAGATAGGACATGTTTTCACTCTGAGGACAGCTGTACATATTTTGTACAATACATATTCTATTTTTAATAGTGTTTGTGTACATATACTTATTTTCCTTGTTTTGTATTTTTGAAAAATAAATTTTGAAATGGGAAACTAATAGTTTGTATTACTCGGTTACGGGACAGTATGCTTTCACCTGCGTATAGATTTACAGGAAGTGTGTGTGTGTGTGTGCGTGTGTGTGTCACATGTAGTATCCTCAGCCTTTGAGCAGGTTTTATATTAACACAATTGAAGTGTGCTTTGACTTTCTGCAGTTTTATTTCACTTATATTTGAATACCTCGGTAGTTTCTTGTACTTTGTCTTACACAAGCTTTGCAAAGAGTAATTAAGTTATTGGTTTTGTTTCTAACCTCTTGCTATCTTTATGTCACAAATTGTGATTAATGACGTCGTGACTTTCTATCCAAAGCCGACCTAGAGTCCCGTAGTACGTGTTGTATTTTACGTTGATGTCGAAGGAAAAGAAGTATGAACCATAGAGATGATCAAAGTATTTAACATACAGTCAAGATAATAAGTCAACTTCACCCTGCAGCTTTTTAAAATCGCATCAAACATACCAGCTGTCCTCCAACATGATGTCATTCACCTTTTTTAAATGTTTAAATTCAAGCAGCTACTCCTATTTGAGTGTGCAGTGACTCTGGTTTCTCTCTGTTGAGGAGTTCTTGATCATCAGAGAAGTTGCAAAGAAATCTCTTCCTCGCCCAACTAAAGACCGTCTGTAGCAGCACTCCTAGCATTGGTTTGAAATGGTGTCGGGACGCTGCATTCTGCTCCATTCTTTACGAACCTGCTCCGTCAAGTTTCACAGGGACTGAGTGAACGGTGATTCTGGACGCCGACTTGGCCGTTCTCTTGAATCCATTCCTGCAGCTTTATGTTGGAGGTTATTGCCTGACTGGAGAATAAATCGTCTCTCAGGTTGCAGTTCTTCTGCAGACTGCGGCAGCTTTTTGGGCTTTCTGGGGTTTGTTGCAGAGACGCATCTCCACAGTAAGATGCTAACGCCGCTGGGCTTTTGCTCTATGAGACACGATTCTGGTGATGGTGCAGTGAGTAATACGATGATCAAAAATGTCACTCGGTCAGTGTCCTGTACCCGCCCTCTGGCAAACACTGACCACATCATGAGTCTGAATGTTCGCAGCAGTAGTTTTATGCGTCTCTTATCTGGACCGTGTAACTCGCAGCTCCTTCAGGTTCCAGATCTCTCGGCCTGCTCACAGATTCACAGCTGTGCTGTTCGCTCCATATTTATAATGCACTTCACTGTGATATTATTCAGTGCCCCCTCCCGAAGTAGTGCTAGTTTACAGTAAACGTGTGACCGATTATTTTGTCTTGTGTATATGATTTAGATGCAGGTGCATTTTAGATTACACACAGGTGATCTTATTTCAACTCATTGTATAACTTCTAAAATCTGTAATGATTTAAATACAAGTCAAAGCATTTATTCATTTTTCTTTTAAAATATTTGTACTACTTTAAAATCAATCTTTTGTTTTTTCTTAGATATAAAAAAGGCTTATTTTTCGTTCCTACGGTGCCTGAAAAGTAATTTTATAGCCACGTATACAATATAGTGGACATAGCCTACAGACGGTTTGTTGTTGACTTAAAGGAGCTTAAACAATGTGTCGTTGCTTTGACATAAAGCTGGGGGACTTGCAAGAGACAGATTTCAACATGAACGGTCAAAGTTGAGGCAGAGATGTCCAAACTTTTCATCGCTAGCATTAGCTGATCTCCAAAACTGCTGGAAACTACATTTCCAATAACTCAACAGATTCTTTAATGAGTTGACATCTTTAAAACTCCACATCCCCATTTTAAAGACACTTTTTCCTGTTATTGTTTTTTTGTCTTGGAGAACTCATCAGGCGTATTGTTGTTGACTTTAGAAAGTTCCCTCCACAGCCACACACAGACATTGAGACAGAGACAATCAGTGGAGTGAATGCCCCTTTAAGCAGCACAATGTGAAAGCAGTGCAGCTGACATTCCACCTGGTGTTTTAACCGGTGGTGTTTTACTGAAAAGGTTTGGTAGATTAAAGCACTGTGAAGGCTTGACAAAGGATCGCTATAGTTTTTGACGCTGTTCAGCATTTCTTCAGAACTAGATTTGTCTCCCCACCTTCTCTCTTTGGATAATCCTCCCAGTCTGACACTAGGTGGCACACTCGGTGCTCTTCAGACGCGAGGCCGGAGGGAGGCTTTGATGTGCGCGATCTTGTCCAGAGAGAAAGGAAAGGCTCTGATAACCTGACACGGCTCTGATAATATACACAAGCCTTTCTACAGCACAGCGTGCTGCAGCAGCCACAACATTTCAACAACGCCTCGCTATGTTGCACGTGTGACATCGTGAATATCCTTTTGAGAAATTACCCTGGAGTACAAAATAAAATGCATTTTATTTTTTTTTTTTTTTTTTAACATTGGGATACTTTTGTGTAGGTGAAACAGTATTTTTGTTCCACTGTACAATATCAGTGTTTGGTGTTTGTGTCTTAAAGGTTAAATGAGTTTAGATTTCATATAAAAGAAGACCATGTGTTCATCAAGGGCAGAGCAGTTTTCCATATTACTGCAGAGGTCAATAACATGGAATAAGGTTGGCTTGGAATAAGACTTGGCTGTTCTTCTTTCACGTGAGATATTTTTAGATTTTCCCAATCACCTTCACTTCCAAATCAGGCCCCTGGCCATGTTTGTAAATGGCGAATAAAATGAACTCCCTGTAAACCTGCACACCAGTCAGAAGCATAACGCACATACACACACACACACAC